TCATGCTATGATTGAAGGAAGGATACCCGGAGGGAATCGATTAAAGGGAAGACCTCCAATCCATAGTAGCGGCCCCTATTTGAAATCAGTAAAGGCCGCTAGTCTTTTTAAACCGCCCCATTTGGTTCATTAGTAGCCCCTCATTGCCAATAGTCTTTTTAGACCGCCCCATTTGGTTCATTAGTAGCCGCCCCTTATTGCCACTAGTCTCATTAGACCGCCCCATTCAAATCAGGGAAGGTGGATTAGTGGGGCCACTATTAAGGGAAGGGGCTTTAGATTGCCCAATCGAAAGGGAGGGATTTGCCCACTATTGATATTGAGGGGATTTGCCCACTATTAGTATCGAAGGGATTGGGCAACCGAGACACCCGCCACCGGCTGAAGCATCAACAGCGCATGTGTCACGTTAGGTTGAGCCTTTATCATAATAGTAGGGCAGGGCGCAGCCGCTCTATCTCTAGCTTGTCATATCCATACTCTCTTCACCCCTAATGATAATAATAGGGCATGGGGCGGTAGTGCACACCCCTCACATTATACGGCTCTGTTCCGCTCCGTTCAGTAGATCGAGTATCCATGGACCATACGAACAACTTCTTCTTTTCTGTTGTTTGCCTTAGACTTCCAGGAGCGTTCATAATAAGGCGCTTCAAATAGGTCATCTAGTGTAACCTCAGGTTTACAAGCTACATTGTAATACCAGGATACGTATGATAGCCATTGCTCCATCCATCCTCGTAGGATAGTGAATTCATTAAACTCCACTAATGAGGGGTCATGAAAGGCCTCATCAGGAGCTATCTGAATGTCCTTCGGAGATAACTTATTCAGCACCAGTTGAATAAGTTTTCCACGAAGTCCCGGGGTAAGAGGTTGTCCCTTACCAAGCCACCATTCAAAAGGATAGTCAGTCGGAAGACATGACTTCTCATACATAGCCTTTCACCTTTTTCTTTTTCGGGTATTACAGCGCTTTGAGCCTATAACCTTATAGCCAAAACCACCAATGCGAAGCAATGTAGTAAAGCGCTTCACATTAGATTTGTGGTTAATAGCCATAAGACCATAGGGATGCGAATAGGATAACAAAGCTCGGATCGAGATTGGACTAATGTCCACGGTCCCTCTCCTTATTCGAAACCTTTTCGCAAACTCTAGACATCCGGTATCTGATATCACACTTTTCTGGAATGATATCGAAACACCTAGTTGATCTAGACTCTCAGCATAAAGTTTGGCGACCTCTGGGTCACCAATGACCACATCATCCCCAAGGATGGCATAACTAGTAAAATGCTTGCCTGGGTGTACAATCTCAGCACAATACCACACCAACATGTGGTGTGATAGAGTAAAGAGAGACCAGGATGAGTAGAAACCTAGAGGCTGTCCAGTATTAAACTTAACAACATGACGTTTACCTTTAATGGTGATTGAAAACTTGTTTTCCGTCAATGTTGAATACACTAAGGACAAACCAATAACTTTCCCGAACCACACTTCAATTAACTTATGAATGAAAGCAACCGGCCACCGGCTCGGTAGCGGAGCTTAAATCATAACTATACAAGTGGTCGAGTCCGACAAGGTATTTTAGTGGAGCAGTTTGGTCATACGTTCCATCATTTGGTAAGGACTTTAAAAGATCCATAAACCAATTATGATAGGGTCGCAGCAAACACTGTTTAACTCAATTACCAATGGCAAACACTCTCCTTTTGCCTCCTCCCTCTATAACCGTTCCTAGCCGTCCATGATTCAAACGATCATACTCATCTACTAAGTTGAGATGACCCGGAAAAGAAGGGGTAAATAAACTAACCGATCGTGGTTGAAACCAGACGGTTGTTTCATTTACCGGATTAAAGGCATAAACCTCAATCCTTTCCCATAAGGAAAAAACCAGAAGTCAGATTTCTTTCTGAAACCTGAGTGCCATAAACACGCCATAATTTCCCAGAAAAGTGAAGGAAAACAAGACTGAACTTTTGTTGGAATCCGGACACCTTTCTTATTAGAACCTGTTGGCTTATACTTATTGGCAATAAAATCACCATTGGGTATAGCTTTCCAGGTAGGAACCCATACTTAAACCTTGAAT